TCAACATCCCTCTCGACTCTGCCAATGCGGCTTTCCCATTCCCTATCTATCTATCTATCTATCTATTAATCTATCTATCTATCTATCTAACTATCTTCTTGATTGTTTGTCCATTCGTCCTTCAAAAAGAAATTATTCTTTATTTAAACAATTGTACTAAATTATGAAAATAAGATATCGATACTTTAATAATCTCTAATTGAATAAATTTTTATCAAAAAGAAGTTAATTAAAAATAACAAAAATAATTAATTTGTCGAGTATTTTGTTATATGAAATATTTTGGAACGGCTTATTTAATGGTGAATATAGTTAATAAACAATAATAAAGTAATAATATAAGCCTAAAATTTAACTATTGTATATAACTCAATAATTTAAAGAAGTTTATAAGAGAAATGTTGTAAGGGGGTTGAATTTTGTTGGATATTAAAATTAACAAAATTACGTGATCTGTACTATGTTTAATTAATTTATTGTCTTCAAGAGATCAATAAATTTCTGTATAATTTGGACAATTTATTTCCTCATACGTCGTTAGTTAGCACAATACACAACAAAGTATTCTACATAATATTCAGTATGGCAATCAAAAAATTCTCTACGAAAAACTCACATTGTATAAGACAAATAAATTAATAGAATAAACCTGACTTAAATTTTAGCATAAATCGATCAGAAAAGTTCCGATTAGAAATTTAATAAAATACATTAGAACATAATACGGATTGATAAATAGAAGTAAAAAAACAAAGAAAGAAAGAACAGGATCTTGACGTACCTCACAGAATGTCAAACTCTAATGAGTGTCCACCGAATAAAGTAAAAAGTAGCAAAGCCTCGTACAAACAAACTGGGCGCATGGTCATTCTTCGTTGTAATTACCGAGAAGATAAGAAAGATAGTGGGTGCAAAAGATAGAAAATGAGGGGTTGGTAAAAGGAGGGTTGGAAACGTTGGATAGTAGGAAAGGCATCGGAGCTTGTAAGTGGCAAGACAAGAGGCACTCTTTTCTGAGAATAATGCTGCGACCCAGGGGACCTGCCTTTCAAGAAAAATGCTGATTGCTTCCCCTCCATTTCTCTTTTTCTAACTTACTATCCTCTTCCTTTTTCTTTCTTTATATACTTTTTTCCTATCAATCTTCGACTTTTCATATAACGCATACATAAGTATATTTTTTTTCTGCTCATCCGCGACTATATATATATATATATATGTTTAAAATATATGAATAGTTACGTGCTTTTATTTTTTTTTTTTTTTTTTGGGAAAACCCAGTAGTATCTCATGGGAAATAGTATCTATTCTTTTTCGAGATAAATATCTCAATTCATTTGGAAGGAATGACTGACTATATTATCGATGTTAAATTGCGCAAATTTAAATATGTCGGTAATTATAAAAATGGATGAACAATAAAGCGAAAAATGTATACACAAAATTTCTTTTATAGCAAATGTTATTTACAATTGATTATTAAATTAATCATTCGTTTACTTAACTTAGTATCATATGTATTGGCATATAAAATGTGAGCTCAGTGCGCTGTGGGGGTTGATAGTTCGAATTCTGGGTTCTACAATTTTTTTATTTTAATGTTAATAATAAAGAAATATAAATCTATTTATTGACAATGAATTATTGTGGAATGTACAGGGTTTTTTTTAAATGTTTTTTTGAAATAATATTATAATTATCTTTAAATGTGTATTAATTATATTTTTATGTATAACTTAGCAATGGAGTCTTATTAATGTTCACTAAAATTATATTAAGAGTTTTATCATAATATTAACAATTTTTAAAGTGCTTTATTATAGGTCACTGAGTTATAACATTATAAAATTTTGTAACAATATAACATTTGAGATGATTTTGATTTTAAATTTTCTAAATTATATATATTAATAATTCTAACTTAATATTGATCTTTTCTAGTGCTTCCTATAGCTTTTTTAGTGGGACACTATCATATGGTTTTTTTAAATTTTTAAATAATAGATAGGATTCTTGATCATACGTTAGTTTCTTTTAAATCATCTGGACCAAACTAAATAAATAATCTACTGTTGATCATCTTACTTGAAAACTTGCTTGTTCTTCTGTCTTATTATCTTTGTACTCGTTTTCTATTTTTGTTTTTATAATTTTTCCATATCCAATGTCTTAATAATTTTCGCATTTGTATCCGCCTCCTTTACTTATATATCATTGTTAAATAATTTACTTTCCATTCTTCCGTCATTTCATATGAATTTATGTATGTTTGGAATAGTTTTGTTAGGTGTTTGTACAGTTTGTTGCTATCATATTTGATCAGTTCTCAGAGAAATAGAATGATTGTGTAAATTTTTAGTAAACACTAGCACGAATAATATCATGTCATTGTATATTGTATGCATGTATCTGTAAGAGGAGCCTATATATTTGTATTGTATGTATGTGAGATGTAAGAGAGAGTAAATGTGAATTATATGTATGAATGTGTGTCTGTGTATGTGTCTGTAAGAGAGAGAGAGAGAAAGAGGGTGAATCGTGACTACCATTAACGCTAGCCTTTTCATTGAAGCGAGCGTGAAAATTAGGTGGCTTAAAAGCATCAGGTAACTGAGTTATTACGTATAAAGAGAAGTAGAGAGGGTGTGAAGTGCAGAAACGGAGGAGGTACCGGCAACAGCTCATCGGAGTAACACAGGAAGTGCCGTTAAAAGCTCGTAATTGATACGGTTAATTGTGTTTCGTTAAATGAATGGGAATTAGGTGACTCCCAATCGTGAAAAGGTTATTACATATTATATCAAAGAATAATTGTCAAAGTTCATCGTTCTACTTTTCATTGTTCATTCTAATATCTAGAAGTAACAAAATCATCGTTCATTTTATTTCAATTATTTCATAAGTAATTCCACGCTTTTTCTATTCTTCTTTTTTTTATTTTATACTTTCTGCTAATTTGAGGATAAAAATCTTGGATTGTAAATCGTTACGAAATCGTTCTTATGGGAAAGAAAAAAAATAATAATAATAATAAGAGAACGATTGTGATAAAATCGTCACGAAACTTGATGATACAAATCTTAGATTGTAAATTGTAACAAAATGTAACGGGGGTACTTAAAGAATGACGAGGGGGCTAAGGGGTGTGGAAATAGAACGAATTGCGATAAAATCGTCACGAACAGCATAAGTGGTAGAGAATCGGTTCGCTAGTGGTTACGAATATACGCTCGAATGAGCACATCTTTTTCACTTTAGTATTAGATATATATCGAAAAAAAGAAATATGATCATCGTTAAGCGAATAAAGTTTCACATTTATGAGAAGTGATTCCATTTACTGAAGACGTCCATTTAAAATATCCAATTGAAAAATAATGATAATGATGATATAAATATTACACATATTACATTCTTACATACACGACATTAAAAAAAAAAAGTACATACAATAAAACAAAAATATAATTGCTAAACATTTGCAATTATTGCATTTAAAAAACTGTTTAAAAACATATATGTATTAATAAGAAAAAAAATACAAAACATGTATGGCAGTTTAAGTCACTGTATTCACACTGTATTAACACACTTTAACTTCTTTTGTGGCTGATTTGAAAATATGAAATCATGAAAATTGGAGTAAATAAATACAAATATCTTGTAAAGAGGAGAAAGAAAAGGAAGGAAAAGTGAAGGGAACGAAAGATCCCGACGGAAGATCAAGAGGAAATTTAATTAAAAGCGCGTTCGAGCTGAGATCGAAATGTTCAAGCCGGCAAACGTCGCGAAGTGTTAATACAATACAGCCAATTTGCGGCTTCGTTCTTACTACGAACGAAGATGCTGGGCTGTTTCCTCCTCGAGTGTTTGGCTCGATGATCAATCGAATTTAACGTGTCTGTCGTCTATACGATTTCTCTTTACTTTTCGAAAATTGACAAATTTCGATTACTTACGTCTGATTCTTCCCTATATTCGATCAAAATCATAAAATTAGATAGAAAAAACAAGAAAATTGTTAGATTTCGAATCCTCCATTTTGAAATATTTATTAAAAACAAGATAGTTGATTGGTTAAAAAATAATTAGAATCTTAATTATTGTTTATTTGATAGAAATTGTTTAGTTATCTCATTTTTAATCATGGTTGTATAATAAAACCAATATAAGAAATAAAAGTAGCATTGATTTTCTTTAATATATTATTGTTTTAATTGTTTAATATATTGTCGTATTTAAGTTTTAAAAATTAATCTTCGATAAGGTTTCTTTTTGAAATATTAAATCGGTGATAAAATAATTAGGATTCTTTATTATTTTTAATTTAGCACTGGTGAAAGAATGAAATTTGTAATAATGTTGTTTTTATTGTTTGATATTGTCAAATTATATTCCATAAATTAGTTATGGACATCATTGTTTTCTGATATATTAAGTTGATGTACAAATAATTGTGGTTATTATTATTTCATATATAGCATCAATTTTTCTAATTACTTTCTATTTAATTATTGTCAGGTAATACTAATTTTTACTTATATTAATTATTGAATTTAATTCTTTAAATTAACTATGACACTCGCAAAAAGAAAATATATACAGAAAATGCACTTGATTTTATTGTATAACATTAAAAACGAAACGTGAAACAATAAAAACCTCTTGAAATAAAAATCCTATAATTGATCTAAAGACAATTAACTAGCATAAAGTTCATCATTGATAACAAAAATTTCACAATAGAAATAAAAGATTTGAAAATGTGATTGTGACGTCTTGTAAATATTGACAATAATAATTTAAACATTATTATAAATCGAATTCATGTAAAACAATACGAGTGGTTACAGAAGAGTCCATTGTTGAAATCACTGAACAATTACTCGACATTAAAATAATATACATCAATTAAATTCGATACTTAAAAATTGATAATTATTTACGTGTTATAATTGTATATAGAAATAATTTGTTTATATGATTTATATTTTTTGTAGATCAGGTAAAGGATAGAAGAAGAAGAGAATGGGAGGCGCAGAATGGAGTGGTTGGTTGCAGCGATGTCGAGAATCACGAAGACTTGTCCTCGTGATTGTTGCCATTGCTTTACTGCTCGACAACATGCTTTTAACAACTGTCGGTGAGTATTTTATTTATTTTTCATAATATATCAATATTATATTCAAATAATACAAATAATATATATAAGTAAGAACTATTAATTTTTCCGAAAAAACAATTATATTACGTTCTGTGACGTAATAAAGAGTGTAGTCAATTTTTGGTTGGTTTTTGGTTTTACCTTTAACCACTCCCTAACTTTGTGAATGTGACAAGTGTTATAAATATGTATGTCTTTGTAATAATATATAAAAGACTCTGAACTTTAACGATCATGGTTATATTGAATAACTATGTATTAAATGTTTGATAATATATATTTTTTTAAAAAATCGTAATATATTTTAGTTGCTAAAGAAGTCCCGATGAAGGGATGAAAGGTTCAATAAGATTGAAATATAACATTCTAAATTCTTATCCTGTCCAATTTACCCCTCTGCGACACATTTTTGGACGTGATAAACAACTGATTGATTTAAATAATAAATTTATTTCAATATATATTAATGGGAATTATTATTAAATATAAAAATGATAGTAAAACTTTGGATGTTATCTCGCATATAGTAGCAATGTTCAGAACCCCACACTTTATTCTATTATTAATATTTAATATAATCAAATAATTGTTTTGCAAACTATATTAATAGTCGACAATATGACAAATAATTGTTTTTTTTTTTCTTTCTTTCTTTCTTTCTTTTTCTTTTTTTTCCAATATCAAACTGCGCTTCTTTTTTAATCCTTTGTCACGGAGGACATTAAAAAAATCGTTCGACATTTACATTGGCCGACTAATTGACTTGCAGCAGTACCAGCAGGAATCTTTACTTTGTCTTGAAAGGTTCGTTTCTTTTTAAATCTCATCGGCTTCGACGATTCCTTTTATCTCTTATCAAAGTACCACGAATGTAATCGGTTGTAAAAAGGTACAAACCAAAAGAATTCACGCAGCTCGTTAAAACTTCTTCTACGAGGCTTGAAGGAACGCACATTCGGATAGAGAATGAAAGAAAGTTTTATATATTTTCTTTTCTTTTTCTGTTTTTTTTTTTTTTTTTATCTTTTTATTCGAAATAAAATACAGTAAGATCTTGTGATTAACCAACATGAACGGGGAGACAAACGTAGTTTATTTTTTAAGACAAAATAACATTTTCTACTGTGATTCCTTTTTTTTTTTTATAGTAACATAAATACGTATACATACGCACAGACTATATTGGATACGTATTATAAAATAATATCTATATGTGCTTTTTTTTCTTTTATTTATATGAATTTCTTTATCATTTTTATTATAATTTTTATATATATATATCAATTACTAAATATTTATAATAATAGTATTATATTATCATACATAACAATATTAAAATATTTTATACCTGATGAGAGAGGATTCAATAACTATTATCATCTCAAATATTTCCTTTATATTTGATTTTATATAAAAACAAAATGTTCAATATCATCTTTTATTAATTAATTATCTATTAAAATTTTAATTTAACCCTTCGTCGGTATGGTGGATTAAACTAACGCCACGGGATAAGTTTTTTCAATGTTATTGTTATTTTAAAGTACTTTGAACAAATTGATTAATGCTAATTAGGGTTTGAAAAATATTATCTAATATTTTATTGTGTGTTATTTATAACTTTAATTTAAAAATAAAAATATTTATTGAATCATGACAATATCCACATTATCGAAGGAGAGTCAAAATAAAACATCAACATACCATCATAAAAATAAATAATTAAATTGATTGCCATTTGAATAATTATATTTTCTACAATTAGTAGTTTCCAAAAAAAGAAAAAATATGAAAAATATTATAACAAGTTGTTATTATTATCAAAGAAGAATTCCTTTAATACAATTCAACGATTATTAGGAATAAAATAGAAGAAATTAATAGGAATGCTCCCCTTTTTCTTGAAGAATAAATCCTCGCGAATAAAAAGAAGAGAAAAAAGAGTGATAGAGAGGTGAGGGGGAAGGAAAATTGGAAATCGTATCACGGGGACATAAGTCGAAGGTAATATCGGCTCGAGGAATCGGAATCCTCAGTAAAAACCTGAAAGTAGACGGGTCTAAAGATCTTGACGAGATTAGGTTCTGATCCTCAAGATGGAAAACAATATCCCAAGGGGCGTCGGGGTGGAGGGTTAATCTAAGCAACTGTGTTTCTTTTTATTTTGTTCTATAAAAATTTCATTATCTAATTACGTATTAGAAATTACGTTAGGGTTACAATGTAATCATTAATATCTAAAACTACCAAAACCAATAAAACTTACTAGCTAAAGTTAAGTTACTTTTTTACTTTTTTTTAATACTAAAAAGAACAAAAAAAATAATCCACGAAAGCATACAAACAGTACATACACATAACCGTGATAAATTTTTCCTTTGGTGCATTAAAAATATTGTTGAATTATCAACAACTATGATCAAAGTTATAAATGGTAGAAAAAATCTAATCCTTGATCCAAGGTAGAAGTGGTCACGCAATTTTCCGCCTTTTAACTTTCGCACTTATACGAAACCTCGACCATTTCCCTTTTGACGCTCATGTATAATTCAAAGAGTACTTCATTCTATGTGCCGTATCGAAGAACGTCAGAAACGTATGGTTGTGGTCGTAGGGGTGAATAAGCAGGAGGAATAAGGGTGGGGATCGTGTATTATACCACCAATTCGAATAAGTGCTCATGCATTTATGTAGTGCCATGAGAATCTTGTAATGGTAAAAAAGTTAAATGTTTGTCGTGTAACAAACGTGAAACGTCACGTGATAACTTTGAAATAACAAACAAATCATTTGAATTGTTGTTTTAAAGATCAACGAAATTTAAAAATCAATTTGTTTGATATATAGGTCTAAATGATAGCAATCTCCACCTGTTGCTACACAATTTGTAAATAAAATTCCACTTGATTGAACTAATAAATTGATCAAAAGATTATTATCGCAAATGATTGCACATGTTAACAAAAACGAACACACTGGAAATTGGGACAAGAATTATTCATCAGTTATATATTGTATATAATTTTTGTTGAAATTAATTCATTAATTCATGTAAAAATAAGTAAATTATACTTTCAGACTTCGTTTGTGCATATAGTATAAATGAATTTTAATTTAGTTATATATATATTTATTGTTACATGCATAAATAGAAGATAAATGAACCGTAATAATTAAGCCATGTGTGCATAATGTGCAAATAATAGCATGCCATTAATCTGTTCTTTTAAATATTAACTTAGTTAAATACAAATTAATAAAATAATTCCCTTACGTAGATTAGTATTGTTTATTTATTCGTTGGAGTTAAAAAAAAACAGGTTGGCTGGAGGTGCTGGGATTTGAACCCAGGACTTTCAGCATGCGAAGCAGACACTCTACCACTGAGTTACACCCCCAATGTGTTAAATATTTGTTTATTATAATTCTTATATACAAAATACTATTATTATTCGTTTTTATTTTATTTTCCTATAATTTATGATGTCTCATAATTAATTTAACAAATGGAAATTTTATTGTTAAAGTGACTCTTGAGACTCCGTGTATATAAAAAATGTAATAAAAATTTTACTGACAATGACGATATAATAAATAATTGATATCTGTGTGTATTGTGCATAGTTCCAATAATTCCGGAATTTCTCTACGACATAAAACACCCTAACTCAACCCTAAGTGAACATCTCGAAGGAAATCACAGAGCAGAGGTCATAACAACAACGACTACAATTGCAACAACGATTCCAACTATGACTACTACAACTTCACCAATTACACCTCCAATACCAAAATGTTCTTGTCCTTGTAATAATACATCCAGTAACTCTCAATTGGAATTTCTTTCTGGTACCACAATGTCTGCCGAACTGACAGGTAATTCATTAGAACTTGGAACCTGGGTATTTGTTGATTTAAAGATTAGGAATTTTTATGAGTGATCGTATGAATTTAGATTCAACTACGATAAATGCTACAACGGCTGAATTTAAAGAAAAGGAACAAAGGCATAAAGAATTGTTAGAAGAAACGGTTGCTGTTGGGATGATGTTTGCATCTAAAGCATTTGTACAATTACTTGCTAATCCTGTTGTTGGACCATTAACTCACAGGTATTTGTAAAACTATCATACAAGATAGGGCTAAATATTTCTATTGTAAGTTATTAAAAAATTCCCTACGATTGTAAAATAAGTCTACATTATTAATTTTCAAATGAATGTTATAATACAATTAATGATTTGTTTGGAATTTTAGAATAGGCTACAGTATTCCTATGTTTACTGGATTCATTATTATGTTCATCTCTACACTGATATTTGCTTTTGGTCGAAGTTATGGTATATTATTTTTGGCACGTGCACTTCAGGGTATTGGTTCCTCGTGTTCCAGTGTTTCAGGTAAAACAAATCAAAAAATCAATACAATATATTTTATTATTGAAGAGACTAGAATATGAATGTATGTTTTAAATTTAAATTTTGTTATTTTTCAAAAATACAAAAGGTATGGGGATGTTGGCTGAGAGATATCAAGATGACAAAGAACGTGGTAATGCGATGGGTATAGCTCTTGGTGGATTAGCCCTTGGAGTATTAATTGGACCACCCTTTGGTGGAGTTATGTATGAATTTGTGGGAAAATCTGCACCATTTTTAGTACTCTCTGCATTGGCTCTCGGTGATGGACGTAAGTAAACTCATATTTGTGAAGACTAAAAAAAAAAAACAAATAATAAGAAAGTTAAATAAATAAATAAATTATTAAGTAAAGCACATATAAATGACTTGATTTCTTCAGTGTTACAACTTTTGATGCTTCAACCATCCGTGGTGTATACGGAAGCCGAACCGCCATCTTTGAAATCATTAGTTACTGATCCATATATTATTTTAGCTGCTGGTACGTATATGTATATACCAATCATAATTATATAATAATTAAATAAAAAAATAAATATTTATATTTAATAATTATAGAGAGAATTTATATAATTATTAATTTATATAATTACAATACATTACAGGTGCAATAACATTTGCAAATATGGGTATAGCTATGTTGGAACCAAGTTTACCTATTTGGATGATGGATACGATGGGTGCTAGTCGTTGGAAGCAAGGAGCAACATTTTTACCTGCGAGTATTAGTTATTTAATTGGAACTAATCTTTTTGGTCCTCTTGGTCACAGAATGGGCAGGTAAATCAATCATTCATTCATTCGAATCACGAAATCTACAAACAAATTTGTGATTATTATAAATTAAACAATAAAAATATATTTTATTAATTTTGATATATAAATAAAATTTTTATTTAATTTGAGTGTAAATATATACAATAAATAAAGATTATTCAATTAATTATATTACAAGTCTGAAGAAAAACAATTTTAAACTGGACAATTACAACAGCCTGGATAGCTCAGTCGGTAGAGCATCAGACTTTTAATCTGAGGGTCCAGGGTTCGAGTCCCTGTTCGGGCGAATTTTTTTTTCTTTTTTTTCGTAATTTTGTATTACTTAATATTTAATTTATATATATATATATTCACATACACACATGTGTGTGCACTTTGTTATTCATAATTATATTTTTATAATTATGAAATCTCAAATTTATTTTACAGATGGTTAGCATCACTAATCGGCCTCGTTGTAATTGGCCTCTGTTTAATGTGTGTAAGTAGACAATATATTTATATATTTAATAATGAAAATATTATATCATTTTGTTATGTGTAAAATTATTATCTAATAAATTAACGAAATTAAACGAAAATAAGAGAATTGTATGAACATGATTGAATATTTTTATATTTCGTTTGTAGATACCTCTAGCTACCAGTATTAATCATTTAATCATTCCTAATGCTGGATTAGGATTTGCAATTGGCATGGTAGACAGTTCAATGATGCCTGAATTAGGATACTTAGTAGATATTAGGCATTCTGCTGTTTATGGTAGTGTTTACGCTATTGGAGACGTCGCATTTTGTTTGGGCTTCGCTATAGGTAAGAATTCAGAAATAAAATAATAAATAAATAAATAGTTGGTAATAAAAAAATTAAAATAATTGATTCTACGATCTATTATTGAAAATCGATGGTATTAAGTTCAGTAGTAAGCTGAGAATTTTTCCTACGAAAAGCTATCTTTTTCCAATATTTATAAAAAAAGTTTACTACGTTGAAATAATTAATAAAAAAGTTAAAAAAATTCAAAAAATCATAACTTCAAAGTAGTTGCATAAAGGGCTTAAACTCTCAGGAAATTTTGTGTACAATGTAGAGAACATATCTACGAGGTTTAAAAAAAATTAGCTAGGTCGCCTCGTAAAAATGATTTTATTTGGTGGAATGACCCATATATGTAATAACATAAACAAAAAAAAACATTTTATTCTATAAATGTTAAAAATAAAAAAAAATATGCATCGGCCGGGAATCGAACCCGGGCCGCCCGCGTGGCAGGCGAGCATTCTACCACTGAACCACCGATGCTTCGTGACAGTACTGGCACAATAATCAAATAAATATTGTATTATTAGTAAAAAGTTAGAAAATTAATTTTGCATTGACCGGGAATCGAACCTTTTTTTTTACTTAAAAGTTTTTATTTGTTTCAAAGATACAATAATTATAATACAATGGTACAAATAAAACTACTAAAGAAAACCATAGTATTAGTTTAGGAAATGTTCGTATGTATTAAATAATTCATGGCAGCTAAAACATGTTTTCAAATTGAAATTCAAATAAATTCAAATAATTATAATTCAAATCTATTAATTATAATTTAATAATAATTAACTTGTTTTTATATTTAGGACCAGCATTAAGTGGAACGCTGGTTAATACTATAGGATTTGAGTGGATGCTTTTTGGAATCGCCATTTTGAATTTCCTGTACGCTCCTTTAATGTATTTCCTCAGAGCACCACCGACGAAAGAGGAAAAGAAGGTACGTAATAAATATTTACGCTTTAGTCTCCCGATTTATGCGAATTATTCGTTCTATGCGGTAGTTTTCTTTTATTCCACAAATAATATTCATTAAATAAAATCTTTCTTTATACGCGAAAAAAACGAATGCAAATAAATTTGAATTGTCGTTGTCCGTACTGTAATCCAAGACAAACAATATTTTATATTTAATTAACAAATAATAATATTAAATAAGGAAGAATTTTCATCTCATTGATCCATAATAAATTTATTAACATTTCTAGAGAAGAATTTATAATTAAAAGAAAAAAAAAATAAATATATATATAAATATAATATTTTCTATTCCAATAAAATGAAACCCGATTTTTTGCTAAAATAAATACCGCGTATAAGAGCATTAGTTTAAAAATGACATGATCATTTATCCTGAATAACAAAATAATAACGTAAAATAAGTAGTACATAAATCAGAATTTAAATGTAACCCTATTGTAATTAGAATTTTCGTGATAATCATTTATCAATACTATTATTATTATTCAATGTTTTTTTTGAATTGTAATATTACCAATTGCATTTTTATATAAAAATCTCTGTAAAGGGAGATGATTTTGTATAAAATTATAGGGATGACCATAAATTAAAAAATTAATAATCCTCGTATAGTAAATACCGCGTAAATCAGGGTATATTGGAATTGTTATATTTGAAATAATACTATTGTTGTTATTATTATTATTCAATTTATAGTGTTAATATTAAAAATTACATTTTAGTCGTTGATAATTGGCGAAAAATCGTCCGTGCGCTACGTAACGTACCAGAACGAAGAGGATGATCAATAAATCACGCAAATCAATTGGCATAACTGTGACGCTTTAAACTACGGTAAATCTTTTTTCTTTCTTTTTGATTATCCTTTCTCTCTCTCTCTCTCTCTCTCTCTCTCTCTCTCTCTCTCTCTCTCTCTCTCATTCTCTCTCTCTCACACACTCTCTATATCTCTTTAATATTATTTTTTATTTATTTGTATTTTTTTTCTTGTTTTAGTCTTTAATTAAAATTTATATTTAACAAACAACAATGTTTAATGAAAAAGAAATTCTACACATCTATTCGAACTCCTATATCTTTCCATTCGATCAATTTATATTTTGCAATTTTTGTTTAAAACTATTTACTTTAGAATAATAAATAATATTTATCGGAGAACAAAATGGCGGAAAAATTAGGCACATTTAAAACGAAATATCGCTAGAATCTTATTTTAATTTTTCCGAATTCAACGCGCGCACGAATTGATCCAAATAACTTCTACTCTTGGTATATACATATATATATATATATACATAGGAAATTAGATACGTATAAGTGTATAAATACATATATATGTATAGTGCATACGATAAACAATATATATATATATATATACATACATAATAAACTTGACAAATACGTAGGCGGGAATATTATATTATTATAAAAAAAACATTATTCAAAAATTACGTAATAAGAGTTCAAACATCGATATCGTAGAGATGACAATATGAATAAACAATATATATGTATATGTATCATGCAGGACACTATACTCCAGCTATTTAGACATTTTCATTAAACAATTAAAATAACGAAAACAACAGGAATTAATAAAATCACATAAAATAAGAAAATTGTTAGGGAGATATCGCAAAAGTATCCTGCGTTACTCGATCAAGTTTTGAGTGCGTTTTTGAGCAACCTGATGAAGCTAGAAAAACGCAATGAAATTTCCTCAATGTAAAAGGCTTTGTCTTGGTAATTAGAATTGGACCGAAAAAATTCGTGACGAGTGATTTACATTTTTTTCAAAAATCGGCACGAATTATTTTTTGGGCGATCTAATAATTTGTAATAAGAAAGATAAGAAAAAGAAAAACAACAACAAGAAAAATTAAAATAAACTAACACGTTATAACCGTAAGAATAAGTGTGTGCGTTCACGAAACGTCGTTTAAATTGAAATATATGAGTGTTTGTTATGCGAGAACAATAATAATATTGGTCGCATATTTATTAATATTATTATTATTAATAGTAGTATTATTATTATTATTATTAAAAATACGATAGATGTGTTAAAAACAAAAGTTACACGCATATATATATATATATTATCTGAAATTAGATCATTAAAAGATGCGAGTGTATTTGTTGTATCGTATATTAGAGGATTGATAAATGTAGTATTAGAACAGCAACAATCAAAAAAGAAAAAAAAAAATAAAATAAAAAGTAAAAAAAAAAAATAAGTAAATTATAAAACGCGTTTATCAGAGAACGCGAATGAATTATTTTAATTTTTAAATTTTGTTTGCAATTCGTTTATCTGTTCATTTTCTCGGATATAAATCCTCTGTAAGCTCGAGATTAGAATTTTCTAAAATTTATTTGATAACAAAAATATACAGTAACGGGGAATCACCTAATTTGGATTCCCTGAATGGCTGCAGGGAAACCGTGCGAATTTAAAAGCGATTAGGTACCATGAAGTATTCTCCAATTATTAGAAATAATAATAGATTTTATATATATATAATTAATATAATATTGAATGAAATGTTGAAATGAAATTCTTAATATCTCGAGCGAGGAATTCTGGGAGACAATAAAAATCGGTTTACCAAACTTCGAGAGTCTTATATAAAAAAGAAAAAAAAAAATATATATATATAAATATTAAACATAATTAATATATTAATACATATATACACATATTTATAAACATATGCATATATTGATGAACAAAGATCCAAAAAAAAAAAAACAAAGTGAAAATCTTGACGAGTTTTCAAGATATTGAATAGGAATATATATATATATATTCTTTTTTTCTTTATATTTTCACGAGCATATCTCGAAAAAAATCCCTCGAAATTTGTAAGGGCTTAGGTTTCGTATTTTCGATTATTTTTTCTACGAGGGATTCCCTCGAGTACCTTCGTGAAAAAGTCCCCTTTCAAAGATGTAATCTTACTTCGGCTTCAACGTAAAGGAATAAGAATAAGAAGAAAAAGAAGAAATAGAAATATTTCAAAGGGTGAATATAAGAGATGTGCTAAAAAAGGAACAAAAAAAAAGAAAAAGGACAAAATTAGCACGCGAGGCGTTCGCGAAAATAGGCGAATTACATGAAAAAACATTATGTGAATTCGCGACGGAAAATTCTAGATGGCATGGAATACAAATAATAATAATAATAATATAATCGTCATCGTTATATATAATAAAAATATAATTAAACCGTGTTTGGGATCTCTCGAAAAAGAAAAAGTTCGTTCGTAGAAGCAATACAAAAAAGAAAAAAAGAAAAGAATTGTAATTAAAAATAATATTATAAAAATATATATTAATATCTAATACACACATACACAAAAACATACATATTTACATATATATATATATATATAATCTTATGTTTCAAGTAAAGAACTCTGTATACGTGAGCGTTAAATGGTAAAAGTGATATACGTATGTATATAAAAATATATACGTAATAAAGTAGATAAATTAAATATATATAAACAAGAAAAAATATATATGTAAATGTTAGAAATGTATTCAAGAGCTTTAAGCAAGACACAAAAAGGTTAACCATCGTATATTTATTACACTAATATAATTTAACAGATATCAAATCTGTTGTAACTTTCATAGTACGCGTTGAGATCCTAAGCTATTGTATATATAAATATCGAGTATTAATTAGATTAGTATTGATTAAAATGATTAGAATGGTGATATAGTGTTGACCCTAATTAAAATGCTGATATACAGAATATATAAATATAAATATTAATATTAACACAAACACACAGAGCCGTATAAAACTATAGGAACGTGATATACTATACAAAAAATAATGCTTAATAATTTAAGGAATTATTAAACAAACAAATATATATCTTGCACGCGTGTTAGTGTATCGTTCTTTTTGTCGTAGTATAGTCGAGAGACCCACGGATAAAAATAATACAAAAAAAAGAATTGAGAAGGTCCAAAGATCAATCGATGTTTCTTGGGTGTAAACGTTTGTTTCAAATAAACATTAAATAAATAAATGACAGCATAAAAGAAGAAACAAAATAATTGATATCATTTGAAAATTAATTGTGTTGGTAATTATGATAGTGAATTAGGATATAAGTTTTTTAATTTGATACTTCGTGATTTGATTCTATTACATTTATTTATATTTTTAAATGAAATAAAGTGCTATTAAATAGAGTTAAGAAAAATAAGAATACAACATATGGAAAATTTATTGATTATAAAAATTTCAATCATTCCTATAGTATTTGAAAAAAAATATACAACAAAACTATATAGAAATAATAAAGTTATTATTTTTTGTTTAAAATTTTATTTTATTTTAACAAATAAAAAACAAATTATAAAAAAGATAAAATGATAATTAATTTTTCTATTAGTTTATTAGAATAATAATTTTACTTTTTCTATACAAGATTAAAATGAATTATATTATTAACATATATCATAATAAAAAAGAAGTTTCTAATTTTTTGATCGAATTAACTGTTATAATTATTAACACAATTTTATTCGTTTACATCGTGAGACATTGCACAGATAAGAAAGAGAAATAATATTTCTAAAAAATTGCCTACAAATTCCCGTTGCGGATTCGGAAATCCACGAGGTCACGGTTTCATCACTGTGAACTTACTCCCGGTACGAAACGCGAGTCAATTCAATTCGTGATTTTAATTTCGCGAACGTCCCGCTCATTATCTCTCAATGTTTGAACAAAATAAACAAAACACGCGCGAATGATTAAATGATTAATCATTGATGATCTAATTATCTCAAACGAGCTAACGAAAAGTGATACACAATGAAAACGTGAAACAAGAATTTTCTTTCCAACAAAATAAAAAAGAAAGAAAGAAAGAAAGATAGGAAACAACATTGAGAAAATATCGAAATAGTTTGGCGATTTTCAGAACTCGAAATGAAAATATGTTAAAAATGAAAAATATTCGAATGTGAAAATAATATGAAACGAAATAAGATGAGATAATTGTTTATGCGCTAAAAATGGAAACGAACAATAAAAGAAAGGAAGAAAAAATAAATAAATAATAGTAAAGAAGAAAAGGAAGAGAAGAATAATGATGGTGAATAGATTTCATTCTATAATCGTTAGAAGAATCTATGTATATACATAGATATAAATACATATTTACTTATATACGAATACATAAATACATACTGATGTGTATTTCATTGATAATCTGTTTCCTTGTATATACATATAAAGAAGATATTATCTCATTAAATATGAAATATCCGATTTTTAATTGAAATCTCAATCTGACATTTTATACTTAATGATTTAATATAATAAAGATGTATATTAACGGATGATTTATAATGGAAATACTGCCGCCGCTGAGATACCTTCATGTCGGATGTTCTCTTAACTTCTTTTCGATCCCTTAGAAAACATTTGGAAATTTTTTCCTAAAAGATCGTTATCAAAGAAAATACTAACTGAGAGAAAAAGAAAATTAAAGAGAGAGGAAAAAAAGAATGTAATTTAACTACAGAAGTGATATAGTTGATATTTAATTATTTATGTTTCTGGGTTTCGTAGAATACAAATTGTACTCATTCCTATATTCTGCAGAAATAAAGAGAACAAAATTCACAAAGTGTGCCATTTGTTTCTGTGATTCGTAGAATAAAAATTTCACTGGTTCATATAATCGGTATATAAAAAAAGAAAACTAAACAAAATTATAGAAATGTGACGAAGTATGCTATTCGATTTTATCTTATGTAGAATAAAAATTTCATTTGTTTTTACAATATTACAATATTTATATACTTCTTCGTAGAATACAAATTTTACTCGTTTCTATAATATATTGAAGATAAAAAAAAAACAAATATCTAAAAAATATTAAACTTCATATTTGTTTTCGTAGGATAAAAATTGAATTAGTTTTTAAAAATATTAATGAAAAATTATTTTTCGTTTATTCTATTTCCCTCTCTCTTTCTTTCTTTTTTTTATTCACAATATTTATAACATTCTCAGGACGATTAGGAAAAGTCATATCGACGGATAAAATGTTTCTATGCAAAATATTGTGTGTGCGTGGGCGTGTACGTGTATGTATGTGTATATCTGTAAAAAAAATTGCAATTGAAAGAAAGAAAGAAAAAAAATGTGTTTTTAAGGGAAGGAAAAGAAGTAATCGTGTGCATGTTCAATGTATTTTAATTGATAAACGTCAAAATCGGCATTACTTAGCGCCGAAATTCATTATTCGAATTGCTGATGCAATCAAAATGCGATAAAACAGATAAAATATGAATGAAAAACCGTCGAGAGAAGTGTACGTGTGCTACGACGATAAAAAGCATATCATTAACTAACATTCACATAAGAAAAAGAAAACCAAACGAAAATTTATATGCATTACAGAACTTATCAACAATGGTGAACCCTTTTTCTTTATTAATAATGAATTAAAATCAAATCAACATTTTTTTTCATTCATTTAATAGTCAAGATCGTCAAAGATTTAAATTAGATAATTGAAAAAATCTTTTAAAAAGAAGAAAATAAAACAAAACAATTTTTTTTATATATATTTAATTATTTAATTAATTTATATTTACATATATATATATATAAAAAACAGAAAATAGAAAATATAGGAAAAATAAAAATGCACATGTGAATTTTATTAAAAACGATAATACGAAATTTATTGCTGTTTTTGAATTAATAACTAACGCTGCCTCTCGACAAGATACGAAAAAATCCAAAGGAACATATTTACAAAAGTGTACAAAAAAAAGAAAAAAGAAAAAGGAAAGAAAGAAAGAAACTAAAAAAAAAAAAAAATAAACAATAATCTTCCACAAAGTATCGTCGTATCGCACGCATTATTTTAAAACGAAATATAAAGAAAATTATTTGAAGAAAATCATTTTAGCGAATTTACTCGTCGCGTTGGCTGCTATTGTGAACAGACAATAAGCAATGAAAGAAAAAAATAATGATAATATTTAACAAAAAAACTACAAATAAGCGCTGAAGCATTTCCAACATTATTAAATGAAGGAAAGATCGGTGTGTGTTCGTATATTTGCGTTAATATTTTTTCTTTACGTTTTACGGTTGTTGCTTGCGCGAAAATGTGTATCACTTTCTGTGATAACCAAAAAGAAAAAAAGAAAAAGAAAAAAAGAAAAATAAATAATAATACTAATCAAAATCGATACATTGTTACTGTATCGAATCATTAAATAAACAAACAAACAAACAAAATAACTGATATTCCAATATTCGATCGACGCTTGTGTCAGTGTGTGTGTGTGTGTGTGTGTATATTATACATAAAATATAGTTTTCTTTCCCCTCCTCCCATCATCCACCTCTTACTTAACATTCTCGAGTATGTATTAATCATTATCAAAGCACTAATCTAAAAGTGCTTTTAAACAATCCTATCGTTGTATCGTTGTATCGTAGTAGTGATATGTATTTAACCAGCTGGTGTATGGGCCCGACTTTACGCCTGTGTAATTGTCGATAATTAAACAAAATACAAATAAAGTAAATAAATCATATAGGCGAGAACTAATAAAGAAAAAGAAGAAGATGATGATGATAATGATGATGATAATGATGAAGCAGATAAAAAAAAAAACATTAACGAGAAAGAGAGGGAGAGAGAAAAAGAAAAAAAAAAAAAAACAAATAAAATGAAACTATTAAATGCTCATATATAGGTATGTTATATTTTTAATTTGTTTTTTCGTTTTGTTTTTTATATAATAACAGGAAATGATTATATCGATAGTAAGGTATATGTAAAAATATGTTTTGTGAAAGAGAATGTGAAATTTGTAAGTCGAATCTGAAAATCGCCAAATAAGTTCGTTGAGGATCATCAAATGTGTATGTAAATGGGAAGGATATTTTATGGGGGTTTTTTGGGAACGTTTAAAAAATTCTACTCGTGTACGAGAGTAGAATGTCTTATTAAAAAGATTGAAGAAAGATCCTTTTTAAAAGTAGCATCAATCGAATGCTAATTTTCCGAGATAATAAGACAAAAATAATAATAATAATAATAATAAATAAAATTACTAAAAGTGAGAGAAGAAACCGACATTTTAAGAATAATGTTTGAAATATTAATATATTAATATACATAGCTTAATATATATATACATAAAGTTACGAAGGGTAATCTGTAATCTAATGCAACGTTTGTTCTAATTTATGTATGCCGCATCTATGTGTATATGTTGTAATATTAATATGGTAATATGTAATGTAACGAATATAAATAAATGTAATAAAAATTCGATCACCTTTTTCCCTTTCCTTTCTTATTTTCTTCTTCCTCAATATTCATACTACGACAAATAACCGAAAAAAACCATAGAATTCAACAAACCAATATTCATGTGTTTCCTTGACCTCCAGTAAGCGTTTGACAAAAAAAAAGCTTGAAGACATACTACAGCTCCTGAAAGCTAAAGGAGTAGAAAGCAAAATAATACAGACAATAAAAGAACTAAATACCTAAAACACAATAATGATAAGAACAGGAAACATGACGATAAAAAAGATCCCGATGACAAATAAACTTTTTATACTTAATAAATAATAATATTTCATTGAATTTATTCTGTTTTAATTTTATAATTTTTATGTTAAAATTTCAGTTAAATTCAAATATTGTACATACTGGATAAAATAATCATTTTTGATTAATTTTTTAAATTAGACGATTTTACACGAGTCAAAAGTTCTGCCGGTAAATCGTCCAAAATCATTTCTCCCTTAGAAATTTGTTTCATGTAATTTAACACATCCTTCGTTGTGTTTATTGTTTGACGAAATTCCTCTGATTATTTAAATAAAAATTACAAAAAGATTAATAAATAATTAGATATTAAAAAATATAGAAAACTATTATAAAATCGAATTTCTGTAGCAAATTATTGATAAACATTTTTACCAATTTCCGGATATTCGATTTGAGATGCAATTTTCGATGATTCTGTTGCATCGGCTGATTTCATTTTCTTGAAAATTTTCTCATCTGTAATAAATGTATCGATATTATTAAAAATTATAAAGAATATCTTGTAATTGGTGGTACAAGCGAACAGAAGTTAATTTTATATGAAAAATTAAATCAAAACATATAATAAAATTTGTTCATTTAAGAGAAAAAAAAAGTTAGTTTGAAAATGTATTGTTACAGGACACTTTATATATTAGTATAATAAAAATATTAACGCAATTTTATTTATAATAAATTAGTTATAAGTACAAAATTTTGTTTTTAACTTAATTACCATAAATTTGATTCTTCGGTAGAATTAATTCACTTCGTTTTACAAGAGTATCAATGTCTTTAACCCTTTGATTCGTTCTTTCAAGAAGAATTCTATTTAATTCTATACGTTTCATCAAATTTTTCAATTGAATCTGCAAAATTCGATCAACGAAAAGATCAAAAATAAATGCAAATTATTTATTTATACTAAACCATTTTCGAACACTAAAATATCAATTTAATTACCACGACTTTATTACAAATTAGTATAAATATTAGTAAAATTAAACTTAAAATGAAACTTTGAATAGTTTGAGCAACTTATACACTTCAAAATCGTGTGTCGTGTGTCAAGTGTAACGCATATATCTGTTAGGTAGCGTGCGAAATTTAAATTAAAAAAATTACACTTGCAGAAAATAATAAAATTAAGAATAATTTGTTATTTTAAATTACTTACATCTATTTCCATCGATTCATTCTTCGTATTTACAAAAGTATTTCCCTCGATCGTATCTTCAACCGGAATTTTGTTTAAAAATGTAAAAGGTTCAATCGGATTTTCTTTTGCTCTTTTCAAAGAATCTTGTAAATTTTTCGGCATTATTTTATCAACGTCGCAAAATGAAAATGTAGATTTCGTAGAACCAAATAATTCTTCATAATTTCCTTTTTCAACAATAATTTTATGCACTGATTCGGAGGTTACCTTATTTTTTAAACTACAATAATTCTTTGTTATTAAAAATTTAATTATAAAATATATGTATATGTATGCATAAATTAATTTTATAATCGTTATTGATATTACCTAGTTTTATTTTTTGATTCCATATTGTTTTAAAATCGTTAATAACGCCTAAGAAAATAAAACATTCACCTGAATTAAACTAAACTTGAATTCGTATCTACGAAGATTAAATTCGTTTGATCAATAAATTTTCCCCTTTACTACAATAATAAAAATAAGATATATATACAATAACCAAATATATAAACTAATAATTAATTAGAATACTGTTTAATGTTAAATATCAGAAAAACTATAAGTCAGGTTTTGCATTTATGATAATATGAGATAAAATAACGACATATAATACGTAATATAGTTTCTTTCTTTTTTTTTTAGTAACGCATATATAACCCACATTCTTATGAATACAGTAAAACGATATATTATACAATTGATGATGAAATTAGAGAATTATTTATAATCTAACGCTTATATGATTAGTTGTACTTACAAAAGTATTATTATTTTTAATAATATTATTATTATCGATATTATATTTTTATGATCTCAAAGAAAAAAGAAATAAAAAAAAAAAAAAAGAAATAATTACTATAATTATACGATTACGAAGCAAATATATTAAATATAAAATGATACGATATAATTTATAATGTTGATTTCAACGAATTAATAGACACATACACATACATACATACATACATGCGAATACAATAATTATTCGTTAGCTTTTATATTATTTGAAATAATATAAACATGTAACAAAAAATTTTTTCTTTTAAATGCTAACGATAATAAAATAATTAGTAACAGTCAGGACGAGTAACAAAAAGAATAATTATTAATTTAATTTCGATCATTTTTCAAATCGTCTTTGACTAAATATTTAATAAGAAAGAAGAAGAGAGCAACATTTTTAATAGATAATTGCAAATAAACAAAAAACTATGTTAATTAATATACACTATTGCTTGAATATCAGTCTTTTGCATACGAGAAATAATTAAATGTTAATAGTATTTAATTACACATTAGCATAGATCTTCTTTTAATATATAAAAAAAAAAGTAAATGATTTCAAGTATCTCATAAGCATGAATTTCCTTAAAATAATAATAAAAATATTAAATATGCCGCTGTTACTGCTGCTTCTGCATCTTCTCACAAATATAATATTTTGTCCTATCACTTGAACCTAATTATCAGACAACAAGAAAAAATTGCAAAACTAAATATATATATATATATATATAATTTAACAATAGATTCGTCTCTATATTTATAATATCACAGTAATCTAGAAGTATATAAGTCTAGCATCTTCTGGATTTTGTTCCACAGGACAGTACGGGCATTTCAATCTAGAAATAAATTAGATTTGCTTTTGTATAAAGTTATTTCACAGTCGATCCACTTTACCTTCTTGATATGCTAGCAACATACTTGTTCGCATTGGTGAGCTTATTTAATGCATCCCTTGATATTACATGACCACAAACTAATTTCATCGGTGGATTATTTTCTGTACTTTGTTGCCGAAGAATCGGACATGCAAAAACAGAATGATAACGGCTTTGTTTACCCAAATCTATTTCGATCTATATATTACAAACAAAAACAAATGCAAAGATTAATTTTAATTAATATTTATTAAGCATAATACTGTGTGTGTGTTAATTAGATTTACCGGAAGTTCATCTTTACCGCTCCATATACCAGTTACTTGTCTTTGTTGCATGACCTGTTTAATATTGAGAAGAGCAGGAAGTGCGGTACATCCAGAATTGATACTATACAAAAAAAATATCTTTTCATCATCGTCGTTGCTAGTTTTAAATTTAATCAACTTACCAGACCGAAAGCGGACTGTCAACACTTAGGCCTAATAATGTACACGCTTCTTTAGTAAAAACATCATGAATATCGAGCCATAAAGTAGGATCTAATAAATGGCTATATGGAGATGATTCTATTCCGTTAGGTAAATAAAGTAACGTTCCCATTAAAGCCTGTACTTCTTTTTCATGACGTCCAACAAACTGCGTAAGATTTTGACGGGCATACATTATTGCTTCTGTTTGTTTAGTGGGTCCTTGTTGTACAAGTCTTATGAAATGTAATCTATGTAACTTAAATTCTAGAGACGAATTCTGTAATGATATAAATTCCTTTTATTCTAAAACTAATCTTTTCTACTTCTTATACATTGGCAATGGAATCGTATTGAAAAATTTACTTGTGCTAATAGGGCTTCTCTGTGTTTTTTAGCCCACTCAAGTGCAGGTTCTAAATTTCTTTGCTTCAAGCAATCAAGTATATAATTCAATTCTGTGAACGGTTCTTTCCTCCCTTCATCGGTTTTAATTCCTGCTTCCTAAAATATTTCTAATTATATCGTTTTCTTGCAAATTACTATTATATATTAAACAATATGAAAATAAACATGATTGTACTTAAGTATTGTGTTAAAAATTTTCTTATATGTAATCTACTTTCGACTTCATTGAGAATGTTTTATAATTAATTAGATAAATATTATTTAATTATGAGATAAAAAAGATATGACAAGTATTTTAATATTGAAATAAAGAAACGTTTTTATAATTAATTAAAATTTCGAAATACGTTAAATGATATTAAATAATGAATAATGAGATGCCTCCTCAATTATAAGTTATAAATTTACTGTTGCCAATTCGTCTGCGATATCCAGCATTCCTTGACGGTAGAAGTGTTGACAAATAACTTGATTAAGAAGGTGAGATTTTTCTGGACCAGAAAACACATCTTCTCTACTCGTACTTGCAAAATCAGCAATGAAATTTCTATCGATAGCTTTTCCCACTTTAGATACTGTACTGTGTAAATCTCGGTGATCGGTAGCCAAACGTTGTACAATATCACGAACCTTCGACATTGCCTGTTTCAATACTTGCACTTGACCTGGTGTTAATTCATGATCGGATGGTGCTAAGAAAAAGTAATATATTAATTCTTACAATTCAATACATTTGTATAACCTTTAAATGTATACAAAAAAGTTTCAATACTAATTACTAAGATAACATTTTCAAGAGGTTATAAATCTGAAACATCATTTAAACATATCATAGAAATTGAATTAAACTTCATTTCGTTAGTTTTTAATAATCAATTTTGATATACGATCTAACTAAAGTCTTATAAAATTATACATAATTTATGCTGAATCACAACAACACAACGAATTTGTTTGAGTCGAATCAAGGGCATCGTACACCACATATAATATATAAAACAATAATTCTTACCTTCTTCTAATTCTTTTTTTAATGACTCGCTGTGATTTATTAAATCTCGTAGAACGGTATCCGCATGTTCGTTGATAGCACCAAATTTTAATAAAACTTTGTCAACTTCGCGTTCGACAGCATTACAAGCCTCCATTGTTGTTTGTCTTCAATATACTCGTGTTATTAGTAAAGCAATACTGAATTTCGAATAAAAATACACGTTGATCGAAATACGCTCTAGTGGTGAATTTTATAACTATAGTATTAAAAGATGATTGGTTACAAAGTATTATGTATTTAATTTTGGTAATGCGGAGGTTAACTCGTAGATAAAAGTTGGTAATACTGATTAAATGCGATTCTTCTTCCGGCTTCACAATATACAATATAATTGTAAGCTCACCAAATAAATCGCCATTTGTAAAAATTTCCTTGATCACTGAGCGTTGAGCAGCAAGAAACATCCTAGGGAACGATTGGAGTGGCTATATTTAAACAGTAAGAAGGTTATAAAGTCTAAATACATATCAATATATATAATGATCGGACAACATTTTTTGTTGATATGTTTTCCTGATTGAAATTTTTATCTAATTTAAATTCTACATATTTAAATAAACATATGTCTAAAAACATTATTTTATAAGCGACTTCAAGATAATATTTAATATTGCTAAGATGATGTTAATGAACATTGGATAGAATAGAATATTATCTATGATAATAAAAATAGTTAAAATTATTCTTATATTATTATTATTTTGATTATTTTTATTGTTGTTATTATTATTATTATTATTATTATTCATTAGTATTGTTAGTATTACCAATGATGTATTATTTAATTTCTTAAGAAATTATTATACATACATGTGTGTGAGTATTGTAACAAACAGTCGTGTGTAGAATGTATTAATGTATTAATTAAATTAATATTATTTAAACAATGCATATGTTTATCGCAAATAAATATCACACAGGTCATGATACTTCACTTCTAGGTAAAATATATCATGGAAGTAATAGAATGTCAATATAATTTGGGAAATTATATTTATACTATCAGAGACTCTAAGGATGTACATACTAAATTGAAAAGTGGTAATTCATTGATGCTTTTAAATTTATACAAAAATCTTGCGATTTGGGATCGATCGATGCTTACACATAGACATCTTTAATTTCCAGATCCTGTTTTTATTACAGAGTATATTAAATTAAATGGTGATCATTTGGAATTTGAAGTACAAAATCAAAAAATACCAACAGGTTGGTACACACGTGTGTCCAATCATAAACAATTTAACAATTATAATCAATGCTATATTATTTCTCTTAATAACTATGATTAATTTTATTTTTTATAAGATTTCTTTTTTACGATTGAAATTACATTTTCAACGAATATGAGTAAATTTCGACTTAAAACGTTCTGATATTTTAATAGCATGCTCGATTTTAGATTCTGGATTCGTTTGGACAAAAAAAGCAACGTTATTGCTTATGGAGGAATACCATGCTAGGAAAGAAAAGTTTAGAGATTTTACGATAAAGAAGAAATCATTATGGAGAGAAATAGCAGTTGTATTTGAAAAGAACAATTATTACGTTTCTCCAGAAAATTTAGATAAAAAATTTAGAAATTTAAAAAGAACTTACATTAAAATTCGCAATAACATTAAAAAATCACCTAATGAAAAGGATAGAATTACGTGGGAATATTACGAATATTTAAAAACTATTTTTGAAAAAGATTATAATATAAATAATTCTAGTACGATAAATAAAATTGTAGCTAAGTCCGAAGGTGATGAAAAGATATCGAAAAGTATTGTTCATAATAAGAACTCGTTATCTGGAAAACCTGTGGAGGATGATGATTCTATTTTAATATTATCCGATCAATCAGATCAATCAGATCACTATAACAATACTGAACAAATATTTTGTGATGTAAAACCAATTAGTATACACAAAGGAGTTAAATTAAAGATGCAAAGAAAAAGACAAGCAAAAACTTTTAGAGAAGAACGTCTTAGTTTAGAAAAAGAAAAGGTTAAAGAGCTTAGACGTTTACGAGAGGCTATAGAAAATAATAATGAAATACAGAGAGAGCGTAATCAATTATTCTCATCTCTTATAATGAATATATCATATGAATCATTAAACGAATATAAGTTTGGATCTTCTTATGAGAAAGCATAAATAATATGAATTTATATTGTGAACAGGGTATCAAATGTGAGTAAGAATAAGTTATTATAAAAGTATATCCCCTTAAGAGATAATTTTCATTATTAATAAATTTGAATTCGATTAAAATGAAACCAAAGCAGTCCGATTCGACCTAATATATTTATAAAAAATATATTGAAGATAGTTTTTTATTTATAAGAAATATATTGACTATAGTATAAAAATATTTGTATAATAAAATCTAGTAAAATTGAGATCTAATCTATTAACTAGAGATATATATATGTCTATAAAGAAAAATGTATATAATAGATTTTTTTAATAATAAAGAACATACATTTTGATAATTACTACACGTTTGTGATAATAATAAAAAAAGAATAAAAAGTCATAAATAATTAATTAGCAAATTCGTTAAGAAAATCATCAAAAACACAAGAAAATTCAATTCAATCTATTTCGTCAATCATATTCTTATAACTTTGTTCGATTTAATTTTTTCAATGAAAATTATTTAAATGCACATCAATACATTATTGGCAGTATATATTTACATGATACAACAATAAAAAATAATACCATTGATTTGTTGTCTTTGAGCGCTAAATGTAGAACTTGGATAATCACATTTTTATAGAATTATTTAATACTACAATTTTGTTGTCAATAATTATCATGTGGGCGAGTGTAAATGGAAATTCAAAGATAAGAATCTATGCGATATACAGCGTGTCCCAGCTACAGGAAATCAAATATTTTTTTTGTTTTTTATTATACGACAAATTTTTATGGTATACTTTGAATGGTTTAGAAAGAGATATGTTATGAAAAAAAAAAGATTTTTTTTTAGGTCATTTTTTTATGGATTTTTTCAAAGTCATCGGCATTTTTTATTCTATAAGAATGTATTTTTTTATATTTTCCCTTGTAGCGGGTAAAAGATACATTTAAGTATACTTTTATCATGACTTTCAAATGATCTTAAACACTAAAAATGTGATAAAATTGTAAGACAATGTTAAGATAGTATAATATTTATAACTTACTGTTTATGCTATAAATGCTCAAAGTGATTTCCATTTACAGTAATAAAATTTCTGAAGTGAACAATTGCAGCTTTTATTCTTGTAATTGTTTCTGATCTTATAGAGACACAAACATTAATTACACCATTCTTCATATCCTCTTGAGTGATAGGTCGTTGTTGGTTAACTTCTTTTAATCTTTTCCATTAAAAAAAATCTAATGGAGTTAGATTAGGTGAACATGGGGTCTACATTACGGACCCATTACATCCAATGCAACGATTTGGATATTGTCTATTTAATGTCCGAATAGCTGTTCGTGAATAATGACCTGGATCATCATATTGATATCACATAGTTGCAAGAGTACCTTTTGCAACAATTAGTCCATATCATCCATAATTTTATGGATATATAGATTCTAAGATTTTATTGATTTTATAATTGTATTAATGCCAAAGGACATGTATTTTTTACTCGCTATTAGGAACACTATAATAAAATATATGCTTATATGATAAAAAATATCGATGATCTTGACAAAATTCATAAAAAAATGACCTAAAAAAAACTTTTTCGTTCATAACATACCTCTTTCTAAATCATTCAAAGTATACTATAAAAGCTTGTCGTATAATAAAAATGACAATATTTATATGGCCTCTTTTAGCTGGGACATTCTGTATAAATATATATATGTATCTTACAATTAATTGAAAAGAAATTTTTGTTGTTATGAATATATGTCACTTGTTATTCGTGCCATAAATCGCCTAAGAATATTTGTACACAAATATTTAAACTTAAAATATAATAACGTATAATCAATTTCATGTCAATAAATACAAGCATATTTTGCCTATATATAACAGAGTACTCCTAGTTTCTCGGAATATACATATTCAGTTAAGTAATTAATACGTTTATATATATATACAAAGAACGAATTTTCATATTACATCAATTATTTATACGTTCTATTATTCAAGCGGTGTACCCTAAAATAAAACGAAATAATTTAGATTAGAATTAAAAAATTTTGTTGAACCATTAGTAAAGTACGAACTACAAAACCTAACAATTATATATGCTAATTTAATCTACTTATTTGCCTAATCGATTAACTCTAAAAACAAGTAATACATTGTTCATATCATTTATTATCGAATGATTATAAAAACTATTCTCATTTATTAGCGTTAAGTTTAATTATTAACCCTTTGCATTATAATTTAACATACTTAACATACATGCCTTATGTTTGGCATGTAAGATCCGCAATAAGTAGGACCTGTGTTTTTCATGTTTAAATCGTAATAGTATCACGAGTCTCATAGATTATTATATTCCAAGCAGTTAATTTATTTTAATTATAAATAGTTAAGCATCAGCTATAAGCAGTTTAAAATTTTTTTTTAAATTTTAAAACTAGAATTAATCGTTTAGGCCTTTAAATGATTTGATAATAAATAGAATCAAAGATTATTATACAAAATATACTAACCCATTCTTGAGCCATCATAAGTATTGTCTTATTAGATAATTTAGGTCCAATTAATGGGTTCATTTGTGCCATATAACAACATAACCAGCTACAATAATCAAATATTATTATTAATATTAAATAAATAATTTCGATTAAGATATCAAATAATACTTACAACAACCAACAAGTAAATGCTGTTAATATAAGAACAACTTGTAGGATTCTAAAAAAGAAAAAGAAAAAATGAACAATAATAATTAATTTATTAATAATTGAAAAGGAAAAAAATGTTTTTGATTTACTTTTTTTTTTTTTTTTTTTTTTTTAATTAGAACAAATTTATTTGACAGATAGTGGGATGGGCACTTTAAAATATTTGTATGTTAAAACGTACCCACGATTTGGTCCAGTAGGCACAAAACACGGAAATGCAATCCCAACTGCACCCCATAAAATGGTGAATATTAATACTGGTGCTATCGATGCTGCCATTTCTCGATATTTTTAAATTCTTTAAAAAGAAACAAGTAGAATATATCGAAGAAATTTACGAACTTCAACCAGCGGATTTGCTTCTCAGGTGTGTGTAGTAATCACATGAGTAAAAATATCGATACTAATCGATTTGGTGTTTAAAGTGTCATGTGATTGTTTCTTTCGATTGGATTCGATATACCGCGAATTTCAAATCATATGTTTAGAATACATTTACATTATTAATAATAATTAATATTAATAATAAGTATACAAGCTACTCGCTCTTTTACATGTAAAAATTAGGAAAACATTGATAAGGTTATATACATTTTTATATTATTTGTTGTTTTATGTTTAGTGCGTCATCTTTGACTGATACTTTGCTGTTTGAGATGTGAATATCTTTTGTGATATACGGGTTGCTAAATAAATTAATTGACAAAAATGTATTATTATTTTTAATAGATTTAATTTTACAAACATTAGGCCGTACACAGATAATATTTCAATTATTTTTTTATTTTAATTCAACTTTACAAGATCATTTACAAAATAATTAAAAAAGAGAAACAAGAGAACAAGATAATTAAAAATTACAAAAAAATTAGACTATTTTTTATTTTATGCGGCTATTAAATATCGTTTCCAACAATAATTTTTAAAAGTCGCATTTTTTAAAAAAATTCCATTTCTCTTGTGTTTATTTTAAAATAAAGAGTTCTTTTAAACAATAATTTTTTTGTTAAATACTATAAAAGGAAAAGAAAAAATATTCTTAAATAATACGATACTTGTAACACAATCATCGTATAGATCGTTCTATTTTATTTTTTTTTCATGTAATCGATACTCTTCCGTTGATTCCAAACAAATACTAAATTTTCAATTACGAAAATTATGCTAGCTAGAGCAGCTGCGAAACATGGTATCAAGAAAAATTTAGATACTTGTTCCATTTCAATCGGATTTGGTTGCTTCCAATCCAAATGTTTTTTTCTATTCGCTTCTACTCGCTTTTTCAATCGATTTATTAAACCAATTTCGAGTAATTTTATGACGCTAATAAATAATATAATATGATAATATTAATTTCTATATCGTATATTAACATCAACTCAATAAATAAATAATTAAATATATATATACATTTATTTATGCTAACAAGTTGAATGCCACGCTCATTTTACATGACTTGCACGTTACGTCAAATCGAATTAATTATTATGCGTTATATTTTATATTGAAATATTATTTAAAACAGATAAGGTAAAAGTAATGTAATCATGTGCAACGTATTTATTTTATTGGGGGTCACCGATAATCCACGCAGCGCCACGAATAAATTTAGTGCCGGACACCGATGACTCCCATGGCATTCAATGTGTTAAATATAAGGATGATTCTGAAAATTGGTACGAGTTACACGATGTTTGACATTTTGATAAAGAAAATTGAGTTACATTAGAAAATAAAGTGTAATAGGAAGTGTATTACGTAATGAGAAGTTAATTATGTTATATGATTTTTTTGTCTATTTTTTATTTAAAAAATGACACGTCCCAATTTCCAGAATTATCCTGCATATTGTATTATATTAAAAATAATATATAATTATTGTGCCAATTAAAAATAGTATACTTAAATTTACCCCATATCTATCGTCCTTTTATATTTGAATTTTTTACTTATTCCGGATGCAACCCATGTTTCATAATAAATTTGCCCTACAGGTTTCAATTGACAAATATAATCTTCTTTTGTGTTATGCACATCTTCGGCAAAGAACATAACATAATTGTTAAAACATGCTTTTTCATACATTTCTTCATCTGTCTCAACTATAAGAAGTCGATTGCTTTTCCATAATTCTTTCAAAACTACATTATTTATCTAAAATTGAATTACTTTCTATAAAAAGGATTATGCACGTTCGTAAAATTATATCATATAACTTCACTTTTAAAATATTAAAAGTGAATATATTAACTTACTTTAAATGATATATAAGGAACAGATCCGTTTACGATAACGATGTTGTAATTCGTTTCATTTTTCAAAGATACAAGATCATCGAATGTCGGTAAATCTATTATTTTCATTGTCATGTAAGCAAATATGAGCACGGAGAAAGCTATGTGCATAATAGTGCAAAACATACTGAGAGATAATTCTATTATTCGTGATCTTCCCTCAAATTCTTCCGGAATACAACCTGTAAAATATATTTTAATGAACCCGAAGAAAAATGTTCAATATCAAATCACAAAAGAAAAAGAAGTATTCTCCTGTGTGTTCATAATTCCGGATTTCCCAAATGGTTCGTAACATATGCATTTAATGATTCGTTACGGAAATCTACACATTAATAAGAGTTCAATTTACCTTGTTTGCATAACATTGCAAAGTTGTAGAAACAATGATCGAATAAATCTGCCTTTTGTTTGATTTCAATGTAATATGAGAACACCAATTGTGATATGTAACCGCATATAGTCAATATAAAATATGTTGCTGCAATGAAATACCAAACATTCCAATGGAATAAATACAGTACCCAAGCGGAACTGTATGTAGGATCGAGCCGAAGGAAAAGTCGATGCCTATATGTTAAAAATGTGAAAAATAAATACATTTGTTGAGATACATATACAATGTTAATTATATTAACACGATAAACGTCATTCAAGTTTTACGTATTTTGACGTATGGACAACGATTCTAAAATTACATATAAGATAATATTGTAACGCTGGTTACGGGTAATCTACGTGGTCTGATTAAAAGAATAAACGCTGGACATTGGTTGTGTTTAAGTTGAGTCAAGATTTATGCATTAACAGGGACAAAAATTATGCCAAATATTTTAGTTTTATATTTCGGTTGTTTATGAAGCAATCGTTTTGATTATTTATTTTTCTTTTTTAGCAATAGGTCATTCATTAATCTTGATAAACGCATATAATTTATTTTATTAATTTACATGTGTATTGCATGATAAAAATTATTATATGAAATAAAACCACATTTCTGAATCATTAAAATATTCTGACAATATTCATTTAATATGATGCAATATTTAACAAATAATTTTAATACCTTATAGAGCGTAACCATTTTGTTTCAAAAAATGTCTTAATATATTCATAATTGGTCATAAAATTGGTTACACTGTAATATTCGAATATTTTGGTGGGTAATTGTAATTTTAATTTAAGAAAAATTTCAAAAATAGTTATATGTATTGAATTACTCGGAAAAGTTTTTGCCGATTTTGATAAATATTTTATGCATATAATAAATCAAAATATTACGTACGGTGTTGTTCGAAAATTGCGCCCTTCAGACTAGATAGCAGCACCTCTCAGCTAGCATGATTAATGCGCCGTCTGTTGTCGCTAAGAAAAAGACATATCGATTG